TTTTGGTAGAGTTCGTTACTAGATAAAAGACAGCTACTGAAGACCAAGAATACCACCCAAGAACAACATGTGGAGACATTTTTGGTAATCACATACGGGAGGGACTGCTGCTACAATGCAGTGGGTCGAGACTAGGGATGCTGCTTAACATCCTAAAGGCAGACCCCATTATCCAATCCCAAATGTCCATACTGCAGAGGTTGAGAAACCCTAATCTAGAACATACTGCCATGCCTTGGAGAAACAGTGTTTCATAATCTCAGTTCTATCTGATTATAACATTCTTACCTTTGCATCTCTTCTGGTGTAAGATTCTTTCTCATCTCTCTAGATAGATGGTAAAGACGATGGAGTGTAGATGCATGAAAAAGAGCATTTCCAGATTTCCAAAACACAGTTGAAACTTTGTTATAGTAATTGGCCATCAACTGAGGTTTAGGCGGTTTTTTAGACAAGGAGAATAGCCCATGAATATCTTCCACAGCTTTGAATGCTTCCTAAAATTAGTAGTGTAAATTAGTCATTGCATTCTAAACACAAGAAAAAATCTAATTCAAATCTCTTTATGAAACCTAAAGCACAACAACACTTAAGAATAAAATTGGCAAATAAAACGCCCTCATGTGTGGTTCTTTTTATTCATCTATAACTTAATATCTGATATATTTCTGAAAACTGCTATAATTAAAAAAATACTAAATCCTTAAACTTCTTTGACAGCAGACTTTTTTACAATGTGCATATTGTCATACCAATTGAAAGAATATCAAAAAATTTAGGAAGGACATAAAATACAATATAAATGTTATTTCCAAGTTATAATGGATGAATATTTGCTTCTTTTTATTTATCCATTTTTTTCCTACAATGATCATGTCTGTTTTCTATAGAACTTTTTTTTTCCTCTTTAGTTCATCAGGTAGTTATTTTAAGGTTACTCCTACAGAAAAGGAAGATATAAGGATAATGTGGAAAATCAAACCACATTTTTACCTGGCTGAAAAACTACCAATGTTTAGTTTCTTCCTCTGTAATTTCAATCAGATTTTTTTCGGGTGTCAAATATATAAAAGCTTCAAGTTATGACTACAAAAGCACATGGGGAGGGGGTTGGGGAGCTGGGTGAAGACGACAAAGGGATTAAGAAATACCAATTGGTAGTTTCAAAATAGTCACGGGGATGTAAAGTACATCAGAGAGAATATAGCCTATAGTACCACAACAACTATGTATAGTGCCAGGTGGGTACTAGACTAATCAGGGAGGATCACTGCATAAATTACATAAATGTCTAACTACTAGGCTATATGCCTGAAACTAATATAAAATAATATTGAATGTCAACTGTAACTGAAAAAAGTATTTTATATATATATCATGTGCAAATGTCTTTGCAGAATTCTTAGAGTAAAAAGGCAAGTAGAGGACCATATTCCCAAAAACACTGAGATCTCCAACGTAGGATTATCCATGTATGCTTACTAAGCTGAAGCAACACCACCAAGAAAACTAGGAGACAACCTATTGCAGTGCTTCTCCAATGATCTGCAGTAAAGCATAAGTTTGTTTAATTTCCAACCTGTCATCAATAATCTTATAAAATACAATAAAATTACTACAAAAATAAAATGGAAAGACAAACTCAGTTTTTGGGGTTTTTTTTTTAAAGAGTAAACAGACACAAAATTACCACAAAATTGCTATAAAAGAAAACTTTGTAAATGCATATTCTCCTCTATACTTATTTCATTATGAACCAGTAAAGAGTTCACAGACTGGCACCATGCACTGATCCACACTGGGAGCAGCATCGAGGATGAGTTGTTTTATATGAAAAGAAACTGGGTCCAAAAGAGATTATATGACTTGGCCCAGGTTTCACACCAGTCAACTAGAACCAAAACATCCTGAGATTCCCTGTCCAGAACTCTCCTTAGTCCATCAGACAATCTTAAATCCCTCGCCTATCTATTGAAATTAACCAACAGTTATCAAGATGAAGATACTCATTAAGGAAAAAAATTTGAATGATTATGACTTCAAAGAAAAGCCAGTAGTCCGTACCTGCCACAATTCCATGCTGATTGCACTGTCCAACTGAACAAGCCTGGTTTCCAAATGCATGGACTGGCTCTCTGGATTATTAAGATTGATTGCTGTACTTTGGTTATGGTGGCGCTGAATCTGAGACAAGTGCATTCTCAAATTGTCACACAGCTTACGGAATTCAGCCTTACGGGTATATTGGAGGCAGAATTTGAAAGCTATAAGCATAAATGAAAAACATGTTAGGTACTTTCCACCATCAACTTAAGTACTAGTTTAAGTTTTATGTCACATATTAAGATCAGTTATTTTAACAAGATTTACCAAACTCATCATCAGTCTTTAGAAGTGATCAGAGTCCTAACTCACTTCATGTGCCCTGACCACCTCCTGGACAGTCTTCAGTTCTGTCCTAGGACTAAAATATGGTTCTGAGAGAGTTTACAAAAGGAAAATTATTCAAATTTAGGTCTGGGGGACTCACCTTTCAAACACTTATCACTTCAAATCCTAGCAAAAAAAAAAATATTCTAGTCTGAAATACAGATAGATGACCCTTGAACACAGGTTTGAATTGCACAGGTCCACTTAAATGCATATTTTTTCCAATAAATACTGTAAATTTCTCTTCCTTGTAATTTTCCTAATAACATTTTTCTCTAGTTTACTGTAAGAATACAGTATATACGCATATACAAAATGTATTCATTGAGCTGGCCGAGTGGCGCGATGGTTAAGAACTGGCTTGGGA